CCTCTCCCTCTGATCCAGGCAGTTATCCAGAAGATACTGCAGGAAAGGGCAGAGGTGATACTTGTTGCTCCCCACTGGCCAAAATGGCCGTGGTATGCCGATCTCTTGGTCTCTCAACCTTTCCTCCGTGGCACATACCCCAAGATCGAATCTCCCTCAGCCAGGAGGTTGTACAACACCCAGAGCCTCAGTGGCTCCAGCTAACTGCCTGGCATTTGAAAAGAGACTCCTAACAAAAGAGACCTACTCATCAGACATGATTACCATGATTCAGGCTTCAAGAAGGCCTACAACTAATAGAATCTATGATTCCACATGGAAGAATTTCTGTAACTGGTGTGGGAGACAACAATTAGATCCAGCTACAATTCCTATTCCAAGAATTTTGGATTATTTACTGGAGGGACCTAAGGGTTTATCACCCAACACAATCCGCAGACAAGTTGCTGCCCTGTCCACAGTGCTCACATATGGCAACTCAGAGCCCTTGGCTCACACCCCATGGTATGTTCCTTTGTAAGGGGAACAATCTACAGCAAATCGATATCCCTCTTGGGACCTGTCCAAGGTCTTACAGGCTCTCACTTCACCTCCATTTGAGCCCATCAGAACTTCCACTCTACAGTTCTTGACACTCAAGGTCGCCTTCCTAGTAGCCGTCACATTGGCTAGGCGCATCTTGGAATTGGCAGCACTCTCAATTAGAGATGACCTATGTATTTTTCATAACGACAGGGTGGTCCTATGCTTAGACCCCTCCTTCGTCCCCAAAATCAACTCATTGTTTCATAGGGCGCAGGAGCTTGTGCTGCCAGATTTTTGTCCTGAGCCGTCCCACGATTTGGAACGTAAATGGCACACCTTGGACGTTTGTAGAGCCTTGTGTCGCTATATTAAGCAAACGGCCTCTTTTCACAAATCTGAAGCCCTGTTCATTTCACTCCACCCCTCTTCAATGGGTCAGAAGGTGACTGCCTCTACTAGCGGCGGATGGATTAGGGCTTGCATAGCAGGGGCGTACCAGATGCACTCCTTGCCAGTTTCAAGACGAATCACTGCACACTCCACTCGCAGTGCAGCAACTTCAGCGGCGTGGGCGACACAGGCGTCAACCGAAGAGATATGCAAGGTAGCGATTTGGTCGTCTCCTTCTCCATTTGTGAGGCATTATAACTTAGATAAGTTCGCCTCAGCAGATGCTTCATTTAGCAGGAGAGATCTCCAAAAGGAAGTAACAGATAGTGGGACACAAGCCCAGACTTCTTCCTGCCCATAGGGACAGTGAGGCCATCTGTGGATTCTCCATTCGTCATGCTGGAGAAGGGGTGTTGAATCCACTCCCCCCCTAAGGTCCATCTGATCCTGTGTCAGGAGAATTTGAGCCACTACCTTAAAAAATCATCAACTGCTGCGCCTTTGTCGTGACTGGGGATTCCTAGCCTGAGGAAGAGAGGCGTGACAAAGGTTGATTGACTTAGTCTCTAGGGCAGAAAGGCAAGATCCACCCATCTGTGGATTCTCCATCGTCATGCTGAGAAAAGGCGTTCAGGTAAGACAACGCCCCTTCGTCTTTCATGGCACCAAGTAGTTGATCAGTCAATCTGTCATTTTATTTCATTCTTGGACCAATACAAGAAATAGCTCCTTAAGTTATCTGTAAACACTTAGAGAAAAGTCCAGCTTTAGAAACCTGTAAATAAAAATTAAAATACAGCTATAAAACAATCTGGCTGGGACCCATGAATGAAACCCAAAAGCAGTAATATACAGTAGTATATCTAGGCTATAAATAAGATACCTAAATTTACACAAAATATTATTAATATTTAAAATTACCCAAAATTTGGTGTATTAATTATATAAATGTGATAATATATAAATTACATAAAATGTGATAATATAAAAAATTATGTAGCAGGAACCTGAGCATTTGGTCATAGTCCAGATCTGATTGATCCGGATATCTCATAATCAGAAGAAGGCAAATCTTTTTCATATGTCTCTGTAAATGGGACAATGAAATATGTATTTCCACAGTTTTCACTTGTACAGAATCACAGGGACAGAGCCTTTCCGCCAATGCTATTTGCCATGCAAAATTGAGCAAGAGGTAAAGCTTTCCCTGGCTGGTGGGGCAGTAAGATGCATTTCAGAATGGAAATATTTCTTGAGTATCTAAAAATGTATAATATTTATTGGATATTAAAAATTTCACGCCACAGTGGCACTGGCACCATTCTTTTCAGGTGTTTACTTAAAGCAGTTTATAGCTTGCTAAATTAGATGTACATATGAATATTGGTGTGAAAGTTATTTGAGAATGCTTTTATTGTGATTAATACAGTTTATATTAGGAAAGTTGTGTAGTGAATCCAAACATTAACACACATCCTTACATTAATCTTCCGCTGCAGGTAGTCCTCAATTTACGATCAGTCACTTAGGAACCATTCAAAGTTACCATAACCCCACAAAAGGTACTTACGATCTGGTGTCAATGTTCTGAAAACTGCCTCCCAAGTCATATGACCATGTCTTGGGGAATTCGGCAATCCATCTGCATTTATGGTTGTTTGTAACTTTCCAAGGTGATATGAACAAAATTCATGTTTTTGACGAAACCTGGCATTTACTTCCGGTTTTCAGCAAAAGCTTCCATACTGAAAAATGGATTGCTTAATGATCAGAGATTAATTTAACAGTCAATGTAATTAGCTTAACAATTACTGCAAAAAAGGTGAAATTGAGTTAGTTTATGTGATGACCTGCTTTACAACAGTCACAACTTATGGCTGTAGTGGACAGACTCCATAACTTGAAACTACCTATATATTCTTTGGTTAGGGAAAAACAGTTCCTAAACTGTAAAAAGTAAATATTTTCAAACTTTTTTTAATATTGTTTTTAAAAACATTTTAAATTTGAAGAGGAAAAAATGATATTCAAAAGCATGCAGCACTCACTGGTACTTGTTTCAAGTTCACTGAATCTCTGATTATATTGTTCCTCTTTGTGGATAGTTCTACTGCCTAGAAAAAATTTACTATTTTTATGACACTGAAATTGGAGCGGGTAGGTAGTCATTATGGGAAGATTCATATTGTGCTTAAAACATTGCTGTGCATGTTGTACTTTTTAGCCATATCAAGAAGAAATCTATGGGTTTCTGCCATTTTCTGATATTGAAGATGTTGCAACATGTCATTTCTCTCTCTCTCTCATTTATGCTGCTTTAAAAGTTAAGAGCATTTCCACTCATAATGTGTGTCAGCACAAGAAATGCATTGCATATGTTTCATATATTTACTATGATACTTCTACTTCATTGATACAAACTGTGGAAAAATTATTATGCATTCTGCCTCCAAGAAGTCATTACATTATGTTAATAGCAGATAAAGAAAATTATGAAAATGTTTCACAAGGAATTGCTAGCCAGCACAAAATATCCTTACCTGCAGTTTAATGTAAATTGATAAAAACATGATGAATGGTTGTTCTCAAAGGTTAAGATAGGAAGTTGGAATTTGCAGTTGTCTTAGAAATCTGTGCTTCTTCCTCCACCTGTGCGTTTTTAGTTTTGCTAAATTACATTAATTCCACCAAAGGGGCTTTGGTACATTTCATTTTATTGAGACTTCATGTCAAAGTTGTCTCTTGGTAACTGCCTGGACTAGTTCCTGACTGGTCAGTCACCCAGCTAACTGGCTTTATGCCTAAGGCAGGACTAGAACTCAAGATCTCTTGGTTTCTGTCTTGGTGCCTTAACCATTAGACCCAAATCCTCGGCTCTCTCTGTTAAGTATACTCTGCAAACCTTTTTAATAGAGACTGACAAATTGCCATGTATTTTCATGAAGGGGATAGAATGTGTCTTTAATAAACAGAGGCAATTATTTTCACATAGGGAAGAAAGGCATCACTGTCAGCATCATCCCATATGCCAATTGGGCAAAGGGATCTCCCTCACTGTATACTGCTGGTTATAGAATAAAAGCAGAGAAACTTGAAGCAGCCAGAGCTAGATCAAGAGATGCCTCTAATTCTATTCTAAGCTTGCAAGTCCCAGTGCTTTGAGAATGCATTCTCTGCTCCATATTTTTATTTCACTCTGCTCTGGCCACCCGTTTTGCTTTCTCTGTTTTCAGCCAGGAAAATGATCTCTGTCTTGGCTAAGGAGTAAATGCATCTTGGTTTCTCCTGTGGACAGTCTAACAGGATTCTGTGCACAGAACTGAGCATATAAAACAGTTTAAAAACAGCAGCTTTTAAAGCCTTTGAAGGGAAAGAACTTGGGAAAAGATTTTTGTTGCTTAAAATTCTAAGGCATCTTTTACGTCTGTTTTATATCGTTCCATTTTTCTTTTTTCTTTTTGTTTTCAAAGGGAAGTTGCTTAAATGCGGGAGCGAGTACTTGCCTGCTATCCTGCCTTCCCTGCTTTCTTCTGTAAGGCTGTTGGGAGTTTTTAAGCTGTGTGAGAATCCTGGGAGTTGGTGATGTCAGACGGGTTGGGTCATTTGAAGGTTAGCAGCCTGGGAAGGGTTCATAGAAAGTTCACTCGCATATATTAAGCAATTCAATCTTTCATTCTGTGTGACACAAGTAGTAGGAAGTGAGCCGTTCGAAAGCAGAAGGATCTATTCAGCAGCAAAGGGGGATCTCAAGCTGCTATCGAAGCCTGTTTCGTCCGCAAAACTTCAAGGCTGCATAGGAAGCAAAAAAATACCATCGCTTCAGAGGAAGGCAAAGTGGCTCGAAGGCTTCTGAAAGATTTGGGGGCACAGATTTGGGGAAAGTAGAACTTGGAATGCTGCTTGTTTTCCCCTCCTCCCTTTATTCGACTGGATTGGCTGAAGAGCCTGGAAAATGGTAAATGATCATTTGGATCAATTACAGGCTTTTAGCTGTGTTGTCTGTCATAATTCATGATTCTGGTCTGGGAAAAAGACCAACAGCTTACGTGCCAAAAAAGGGGCAGAGTTTGATGGAGTTGGATGTACTTTTATATGTCATTTCCCCCCACACCTAGAGGAAGGCACTTTTGCAGACCTACTGGAGAGGGAATCATGTTTGACTGCATGGATGTCCTAGCAGTCAGCCCTGGTCAAATGCTGGATTTCTACACAGCAAGTCCATCTTCCTGCATGCTCCAGGAGAAGGCTCTGAAAGCCTGCTTCACTGGATTGGCACAAACAGAGTGGCAGCACCGGCACAGTGCTCAATGTAGGTCCTGCTATTGTTTTGTTGCACTTATTTGTTGCTCTCATTTTTTAAAAAAATTATTTGCATGCAAGAAACAGGAAAAAAATGCTACCCAAAAGACAACAGGAAGGGTGTATTTTCCCAGGTAGATTTTTATGCAGGTGTATGTATATGCATGCACATTTGGGCTTTGGCTTATCACAAATTTAAGCATGTTTCACTTTTCAACCTTATTCCTCTAGTATATTTAAATAGTTTGGCCATTAAATGTAAATGCAGTAATGATTTTTATTAAATAAAATATCATGCAGAATTTCCTTATCTGTATGTTTATTTGCTTTTCATAAGCTATTTTTTAAAAAATGATTTTTAATATTTTAACTACCGGTAGGTGTATTTTAGCATTCTGAAAGACAACGTTTTGCAAAGCAGTCATCTAGGGGCAGGTAAAATGCAAAGTTGGTGGCTTCTGTAAATGTTTCTCTTTTTCTGACCAAGAAAAAAAAAGAAAAAAGCACTATTTCTTTGCATTGACCATGCTGCCACGTTTCTTTTTTTACTTTGTTGCTCTAAGAAGTCCCTGTTTTTTCTAGAAAACTAACTATGAACACCCCTTGTGTTTTGCCATCAATTATCTCAGCACTTTCTTGGTGTGTGAACAGTTCAAACTGGACAAAAAAAGCTACAGTTTAATCTTGTAAAATTATTTTAAAATGCCTATTAAATTATCAGATATTCATCCAGGGTTAAAGGACATGAGTGTCAAAACATGGCATGCTTTTATAATTTACTTTAAAGTTTGAGAAAGAGCAAGCAGTGCCAAAGTTCTAACAGTGCATGGGGGAAGGAGGGAGACCCTTGAAGGATGCTTCATTGCTTTGACACTGATTTGGATAAATGATGACTATCTATCAAATTGTTTTAACATGCTCTTTGACACTTCAGTGGACCATTAACTAGAGAGTATGGTTGACAATGTGGTTCTTAGGCTGCTCAATTGCTTCAAAATACACAAGCTTAAAAATGTGCAAACTGCAAAGGAAGTAAATTTTGAATTTTTTTTCATATGAGCATTTTGATAACAAATGCCATAATCAAAAATATTTTCATTGTTATTAGATCAGCATTATTAATCATAAAAACAAAAGAACTTAGAAAATGAGGCTCTGGGATAAAATATTGAGAATGACTCAGGAATAAATTTAAAAGCAAGTGTAAAGTGTAAAATCAACAGACAATTAAAATAGTGAAGGTATTTCCATACTAGGGAGGGAAGGTATTTAAACTGCATTAATTCAGCACTGCTGACTAAGAAAGAATTTTATTTAAGTCTGCCAGTATACCTTTCACACTTCTGTTCCTTTTTTAGCAAGAATTTTATAATGTATAGTTTAGTTGTAATCATAGTATAAATATTTAAATGTTTAAGGTGTTGCCTAGTGGAGCAAGAGCTTTTCCAGTGTCAATCTTCTATAAAAAGCTAACATTGCAGAGTTCTACAATAGATTTCTATGAAACCGAACTATTTTTTTTTTTTTTTAAATGTCAATGCCAGTTGCTCCAGAGCAAGTTAAAACAGGCTTATTACTCTGATCTCTAAGTTACAGGTTCTAAATATGCCATTTGCTAGAGGCTGGTATAATGTTAATTAAATTACACTACCATACAGCAAAATGGTTTCAAAATATACTTTCAGGGATTGAAATTATTTTTTGCAAATTATGATTTTTAATTAGTGATATTTATAGCAATTATCATATCCTGCAATACGCTTGATTTTATTCTGATATTTAATCTATTATCTATAATAAAAAATATGGTCTTCATAGTAAACAGTAATTTCAGTTGCAAATATTTCCTTATTTTTGTTAACAACAAACTCTGTGCAGTTTTGCATAATGTATTGAGATAAGAGCTATTTTACAAGATATAAAAAAAGGAATAGTCGAGTGTATTTTGGTTTGGGCATAAACATGTTGCAATAGTTGGTTTATTCCATAATTTTGACGCATCGATAATAGAAGTTTAATAAGTAGACAGTAACAGCACTTATGATGGTTCAGTAATTAGCGCAGAAACATACCCAGGAAAATATTGGCAGTTTTCTGAGATGCAAACATGCAAATAATTGAAATTACACAGTAATGCAGTAAATATATGATATATCCTAAAATTGTGTGTTTAAAGTTTGGATTGCCAATATTAAAATCATTTTGTTTTATGTGTGTGTGTGTGTTTACTTATTGTATATTATTCTCAAATGTGCTAAGGTGTGTCTCCCCTCAAAATAAAACTTTGGAGTTTAAAATATATTCTAATCTTAGTGCCAATATGCCAAAGTGAAATGAACAATTTTTTAGTCAAGAATTTACAAATAACCTATTGTATTTTCCTATAGCTAAGTATTTAAAACAATTTTATGAAAATGTAAAAGGCTTAGATAAAGGCTTGTATATATTTCTGATTTTTCTGATTTTTTTAAAATGATGCCAAGTATAAATGAATGAAAACTATTTTCTTTATGATTATTCTTATAAGAAAAATGGTGACAAACCAGCTTTTCAATGGATAATACCTGTTTTAGAATGCCCTTATATATTTTTTAATTGTTTTCAGAAAAAATAGTGTAATGGTATTAATGGTTATTTGTTTATTTAAATAAGATAATGCACATGTGTAATAACATATTCATGTGTATCTCTACTCAGAAGTAAGCCCAGTGAAGTTAAATGATACATACTTTAAGGGAACTGCATAGGATTGCAAGGTAACAACATAATCCTGATTATTCAGAAATAAGCTACACTATGTTGAGTGAGATGTAATCCTTATGTGTGTTTAGGATTAAAACTTTGATCTCTTTCACAATAGAATGTATGGGTCTTAAAAATGTCAGTTTATACAAATTAAACTTACAGGATAATAGTTTACAGGTCTGCATAAAAATCTCTGAAAAAATCTGGAATTGTACATGACATTGCTAAAATATTGGCTAATATTAATGTTTAAATCTGACTGCGTTCTTGCAGTAATCAGCTTCATAAAGTTCACAAATAAATATCCTAAGAGAAAACTCTGTTTATTTTTCGTATCTCTAGTCAGAATATAAAAACAAACATATTTAAGTGTATGACATGATATCTACATTCCTAGGTATTGAATTGCAGCAGGTGCTATTGAAGGTTCTGCATTTCAGCTAAAGAAAAGATTCATTGTTATGTAGGTTTACATAAAATTTCTAACAAATTTCTGGTATGGTTACTAGAAAACCTTTATTAGGAAGCTTTTATTTGCTGTAAATTGGTCTAAAAGATTCTTGTTTATTTATTATTTAATATGGATCCAAACTAATTTAGGGTACTTTGAAAAACAGTGAATCTAATTTTCTTGATTTTTCCTGTGATGTTTTTTTTCATTTGAAGAAGCCAACTTCTTTTTCAAATATATTCCACTTAAAAAAAAAAGCTGAAGTTAATATACCTGAGTTTAAGAGGTAAGAGAGGCTGATTATTGTTTATTCATAAATGGGAATTCAGTTACTTTCTTCTTGCATGGAGAAAACATTGATTACCTCCAGATTTTAGCCCAGTGTTATCTGGCAGATCATTATAGTCCAGCTAGTAAGATGAGATAAAGTCCAATCTCAGATTGTGACAATAATCTTTATATCATCCAAACAAGTATATTTCCAAAGCTTGCTTATACATTGATTATATTCATACATTGGTCATCTTCAACCATCTCTACTGAAAGCTGTTTGTTTATTCGTGAACTCTTACCAGTTTAAAAATGCAATCTCTGCCTCACTCCTGTTTCCTGTGTCACTTTTTACAAAGGTGGCAAATTAAGTCATACTTATGGCAGCATATTTGATCTCAGAATAAAATGTCTGATGTTTAGCATCACTTTAACCTACTGTTAACTTACATTACCTGATAGAAAATAAAAACTGATGCCAAAGACATTTTAGGTCAAGGAGTCAGAATTAGTTAAATATAATCCTCCTTTGAACCCTGCATTTGAATTCCAAAAGTCTGAAAATATTCATATACATATCTACTTCTTTCTTTCAGAATTGGCATCTCAGGATTTTTTTCCCTTTTGAATGTCCACAATCTATAGGCAATTATCTCCTACATTTCACTTTTATCTTTTGAGTTCTCTTTTCTGTTTGCAGTTGTTTGAGAAATGACTGCAGAACCTAATAATTGTGTAGTTTTTAGATGTACTACAAACTATTTGGTTACTATTGCTAAAGCTTCCCTTTGGTTGTGCATACAGTATATATTTGTGTAGCCCAATTTAGCATTCCTGAAGAGGTCTTCTGAGGATCTGATAGTTAACTAGATATATTCCCCATACAATAGTAAATAATCCAATTTTACTGTCTTTGGCGCTACATTTTATCTTTTCTGTTCCATGTCCCTGCCATCACAGGTCAAATGTAACAGAAATGAAAAACAACTTCCTCTGATCATAAGTGCATGCCAGACTACAGCACATATGATATGTATTCTTTCTGCCATTTATGTAATACTACTTCTGTGGTTGCTATATTCTGTAAAGATGTAATATTTGGAACTAGACAGTATAATCACTTAGTTATTGTAGTACAACGTTTGGTGCACCAACTTCGAATGACATGTTCATACATTTCAAAACATGATTTTTTTTCAAGGATTTAAATGATTATAGGCTGTTGTTGAGAAATCAAACTGTATTCATCTAACAATTGAGAGGACTGATTTTGTGCACTTGAAGCTATTGAAACCATTTAGGTATTTTTTGCATTTGTTTAAATTCAACATAGAACCTATTCTGTGTCAGCATTTTCCACGCAAACAGGAAAAACCCCAACAAGGCCAGAGCAGGATATATTCATGCCTGAGGAAAAGGAAATGGGGTATTGTACCACCATGGAATAGCATCAACAAGGCTGGTAATAGAAATTCATTGTACTATTGGCAATAGAATTGGGTTCTTCAAACCATTTGAGTCCTTACAGTAGTTTAAGAGTGCAC